CTGTTGCCGTGGTTCCCAAATATCTTTGCTGGAGCTGGAATTGCCCCGCCCTTGTTGGTCCTGGCTAAGCAAGGTGCTCCGGTTTGCTCTCAGGAGCTTTTGTTCCCTGCAAGCTCTCGGTACAGCTTTGGAGGACCAGGGTGAAAATGGTGGCCTCCCAATCTCCACCCGGAGGAGCTGAGAACTCGGGGCCCCGCTCCTCAGTGCGCCCCCAGAGAAAAGCAGTCACTCCTGTCCCTGGTCTCCGGCCGCACTCCGTGCTCACCCGGCCTGTGACCGAGCGTTTCTATGTCTGGCACCCGACCCCGTGTGGAGTCTCCAAACCCAGCAGATCCCTGCGGTGCGCTCCCGCGCCGCTCCTCCCCGGGGAGGGAGGGGAGTCTCCCCAGATCTGTCGCTTGTTGGGTCCCTGCTGGAGGAGCAGTGGCCCGACTGGGCCGCGGATCACAGTTTATGGCCACCCCAAGCTGAGAGCCCGCGCCTTGGCTCCGTCTCTGCAGCTGGCTTCCCCGCTCCAATCCCTGGGAGCTCTGTCGCACTCAGGCACCCCCGGTCTTTCTGTGATCCCGAGGGTCCTGAGACCACACTGTCCCGCGAGGGTTCCACCCCCCCGCTTAGCCACTGGAGTGACGTCCCTCAGCGGAGCCGACTTCTAAAAGTTCCGATTTTGTGCTCCGCGGCTCTAGCACTTGCCAGAAGCGGCCGGCGGAGGCCCCTCCCCCGCCGTCTATCCTCCCGAATATCGCCTCGGATTCACTTCTCCGCACGTCCTACCTTCCAGTAAGTGGTCGCTTCTCTGTTCAGAGTTGTTGCTACTCTCCTCTTCGATCTCCTGTTGAGTTCGTAGGTGTTCAGAATGGTTTGATCCCCATTCAGCTGAATTCCTGAGACCAGACGAAATCCAGGTCTCCTACTCCTCCGCCATCTTGCTCCCCTGCTGCTCAGATTTTGATGCCCTTTTCCTGTCATCCCATGGCACCCAGATTTCCTCTGCTTTACACTTAAACTGTATTGTCTTAGACACAAGCTCTTTGTGGTTATAGACTGAGTCTCAAAATCAACAAGTATTTGATGATAAGCTGAAGAAATGTTCTTTCCATTTATTTACTCAGGTGGCCAAACCTTGTAAATTTATCATCTCTGGAAAAATCAAACTTAGCATGTTCATGTGCACGTGTAAAGACTGCTCCCCACTTGGCAGCCATGGCTTTAGGAGGCGATTTGAATGTGACCTCGAACTTGAACAAACATGGAGAACAAATAGGTGCTGGTCAGTAGGTTCTGAGAGATGGAGTTCAGGTCCTGGGACACAAGGGCCAGCTACCACCTTGCTGTGTAAACTCGGGTACTGATTTGTTGGCTTCTTACCACGGGTGGCTGGGCTGGATATTCCTGTAGTTTGATGTTCCATGACTGTATTAAACTTTCCTAATAGTCGCAGGATGCAAAATGGATGGTTTGGATAATTTTTCTGTTTTTTTTTAAATATATATAGAGTTCAAGGATACCTATTTAATGAAAAGGTGGGAACAAGACTATCAGATATGGTAGACAGTTCTACTTAAAACACCATTTCCGTATTCACATTGAGTTCAGATGCATTTGATAAATTGGAGAATGATTCATTCTAATATCAAAGTGTGTTGGTGCAAAAAACAAAATCAGAAACAAAAAAACAACCACTTTTCTTTTTTCTAGGCAAGGGAAGCCCAGAATAGCAGGAGTAGAATTATAAGCTTTAGCGGAAAGGGAAAAGCCCTCAGTAAACTACTGCACAGCAGAGCCTCTTCCAGCTAGAGTTTAAGAAGATAAGAAATGAGCAGAGGCACCAAAGGCTCTACCCGGAGAGGTGCATCCCCCCCCCCCGACCTTGTACAGCTCTGGACCAGCTCTTGTTCACGGGGCTACACAGCCAGCAGGGCACACCGTTGGGGAAGAGCTTACGCTGTATCTGCATAGCCTGGACTTCTGAGGACAGCATTTCTAACCAAATGTGTGTGTGTGTGTGTGTGTGTGTGTGTGTGTGTGTTTAAACAACCCCTGCAAAACCTCCAGCCTCTAAGCCTCCAGGCTGCCTCTCAGAGGAGCGATTCCTTTGCGTAGAAAGCATACATTTTGAGGGGTTGTCCCATAAGCCGATTTTCCCAAAAGAATTGCAGATGGGGAGGTTTTTCAGAAATGTCCATGTCTCCTTATGGCAGAAATAGCTGTACTTCAAATGTTTACGGTTTGGGGTCGTCTATTTTTTTACTCCTTAATGTGAAATTACTATGATTTTTATAAACAAGAAAAACCAAACTATATAAAAGTGTGTTAGGTTAAAAAAGAAAAAGGAGGAAGAATGCAATGGTCTCTCCATGTACTCAAGATGACCTAGTTTTAAATCATCTGAAAATGTAGCGTTACTTGTATTTCCACCTGCAGTGTCAATGAGCATCCACTCATGTCCCCTGCAGCTGGATGTCGAGACTAAGACTCAGAGTGCCTTGAAGCAATAAAGAATGAGGGTGGAAACTTCCCTGATAGTTATCTCACCAAATGACTTCTCACCAATTGTTAAATAAGATTTTTTTTTCCATTATTTTTCTCTGGAGACAATTAAGATGCCCCTTTTCTCATGAACTACGGTAATCTCCCAAAGGGTTGAGGAAGAAAGAGAGAGCCAGGCTGTGTAATGTTCTCCATGAAACATGATGTTGGTGTCATTGCATTCTTGTTCCTAAATAAGCTTTCCAAAAATACAGTCAAATCATGCTGGCCTGCAGAAATATATTCATGGTACTGCAGTGAATAATTTGAAGGGATGGCTATTTCCCGAATGTTTTCTTTATATTAAATTTGTTATTGTATTAAATAGAGTATCTTTTTATTAAGAAAATCCAATAATCAGTACCTTGGAAATCCAGCTCTTTTCCTTTCTTTCTTTCTTTCTTTCTTTCTTTCTTTCTTTCTTTCTTTCTTTCTTTCTTTCTTTCTTTTTGTGTTCCATGTAAATGAGGTTGAATGTCACCGGAAGTCACTGGAAAATAGATTTCTGCTTCTTTGTTTTTGTTTTTTGCTCTTAAGCTTTGAGACTTTCACATGTATAGAAATAGAGAAACAGAACTTTTCTACTAGCTTTGTGCTCGGCTCGTTGCCCTTTTGATCCGACAGGACATGTTTGGGGAAGAAAATGTCCCCATGAAACCTAGTGCTAATTCTACCTGGGGACACATTCTGGTAATTGTCCTATTGTGATAGGATGGAGAAGTCAATCCATCGCATGTAAATGCAACGCATGTAAATTAAATTATCTTTGGAATAAATGGCTCTAATCTTTTTTTCAAGTTTAATCTCATCAACTAGAATGAGTTTTGGTCAGCGGGGTATGAAGCCTCCTATTATTTCAGCTTTACTGAATGAATAGACAGATATTGGGCCTGGATCTACCATACTGTTGAGGTGTGTAGAATGGAGAGTTTTCTTAAAAAAAAAAAAAAAAAATCTCTAAATGGGCCTTGCAATTCATAATAATAATAATTATACCCCTCATTTTTTTCCTGTACCTAGTTTGTGCTAGATAGGTGCTGAGCAATTACTGACTCTAATACAACCCAAGTGGGCAGGCATTTAATGTCAGTGCTTCTCATACAAGCAATTAAAATGACATTCCACTAGATACAGTGGTCTGCAACTCACTGTTTCCCTAACAATACAATACATAAATGTTTCCTTTTTCGTTGACGTGAATCTACCTTCCTCTGGTTTGCCATTGCCAAGTATGTCCTCGTGTCTCAGTGCAAATAACCAGGTCCTCAGCAGTAGAGACTCGAGCTGCCTCTGGTTGGTTTGCGATGCTTGCAAACTAGGTCTCACTGCATAAGCTTGTGCAGATCTGTGTATTTCTGGGCACATTTGTAAAACTGAGGTGGGTTATTTGATATTCAGACAACTCCGGGAAATCAAACATTGCAAGTAGTCCCTTCTCCTGTTAATGTGTAATAAAACTAAACCATGATTGCATTTAGACCGGGCTGAGATGAGAGGGGGGCAGGGAGGGCTGCCTCACATCACACTCATGCTCTTCCAGATGTGTTGTCCCTGTGTACCTGTCCTTCTACTCAACTCCTACCCATCCTATGAGGCCACCTTCTCTCTGAAACTTCCCTTGTAAGGCCAATCCCGCCAGTGTGTCAGACAGGCCACAGACGACTCCCCAGGATGTGGGCCCAAGAGCCCCGGCTTCCCCTTCCCTCCCTCAGTATCTGGAACAGGGATCAGGCGCTTGGAAGAGCAGACAGTGTTTTGTTCTGATGCTAGTGACAGAATACCCAATTCAAATCAGCTTGGACTGAAAAGAGATAATTGGCTCATATAATTGAGAAGTCCAGGGCTAGTTTCCAGGTTTAGGTGGGATCCAAGGTCACCCCCTTTTCTTGGCTGTCTTCCTCGGAATCAGTTCATTGACTGGCAGGCTCTCCCTTCGTTGTTCCAAGGCAGGCTCCTGTCCATCTCCTGTCCTCAGCAGCCCCACAAGGAAGCCCATTCATTCAATGCAACGCGTTCTATTTATTGTGCACCTACCACGTGCCAGGAAATATTCTCGACCTGGCGAGAGAGCAGTGAACCACACAGGCAAAAACCCTTGGCTTACCTCTGTTGATTTTCTCTTCCACAAAAGTTCTAATAAGTGTTCCCAGGGGTTGTGTCTTACTGGCCTGACTTGGGTCACCAACCACCCCTAGAATCAGTGGTGAGGTCAGCCCCCTGTAACTGGATGGATTGAGCTGAGCTGGGGGGAGGTTCTCCAGAGGAAAGTGGACACACTGTTGCCAGCAGGGGGAAGAACGGATGCTGCTAACTAAGCAAAAACAATAGCTGACCCCACGGCTAGGTGAGGAAATGCCCATTGATTTGCCCACCAGCTGCTCTGACGTTCTGACTCCCAGCGCCCCAGTTCTCAGTCAAGTCTTTACCAGCCGCAGGGTCGCTGACACACTCCTTTCTTCCCTTTGATGCAGCTCCAGATGAAGATGAGCGAGCGGGCCGCCTCCCTGAGCACCATGGTGCCCCTGCCCCGTAGCGCCTACTGGCAGCATATCACACGACAGCACAGCGCTGGGCAGCTCTGCCACCTGCAAGGTAAGCACGGGGCCAGGTGCCCGGGCAGTGCCCCTGGCAGCCCTGTGGGGTGGGGGGAGCGCAGCCAGCCCAGCTGTCCCCTTCCCCCCAGGGCCAGGGCCCCCATCGAGGCCGCACTCCGGGGCATGTCCTCCATCACAGTGTCCTGGGGAAATAGTTTAACATGCAGATTCTTGGGCCCTCGGCTGCAGAGTTTCTCCATCTTAGGAAGTGGCTGAGCAAACCACCTTGATCAAACACCTGACGGGGTGTGTGCAAGAAAGGTGGGGTCCACGCTGCGAGAAAACAGGCTAGTAGTGCACTTGGCACCAACAGCATCAGCATCCCTTGGGAACTTGCTAGAAGGCAAATGCTCAGGCCCCTTCCGGGATCCTGAAAGTTCTAGGATCAGGCACTCTGGGGTCGGGGCCCAGCCATCTGTGTGTTCATCCAGCCCTCCAGGTGATTCTCCCCAATGCCCAAGCTTAGGAACCACGTGCTGTTGGAAAGGGATGCCCTGGGGCAGGGTCCTGGGTTCTGGTTCTGCAGGGACTCTAAGCAAACCCTAGGAGGCCTGTCTTCCAGAAAAGTGGGCTCAGAAGCAGGATACAGAAGGGCCCGTGGTGGGGACAGCAGGAATAATTGGAAAAAAATTTTAAACATTTTCTTACCTCTTCAAATGCAGCTTTTATGGTTTACAGTATGCAAGAATAGCTTGTGCACATGTTATAAAAAACAAATAGGCCTCTGTGGCGGACCCCTGCTGAAGAACTTTGCATGATCAGCTGCAAGACACCAGAACTTTGACGGGCGTGCGCTAGATGGCACCTAGTTCCTATGCAGTAATCTGTCAAATAAATGAATCTGAGAACAAATGAAGGGCCACAGGGAACAGTGGCCTCAGCCGTAAATAGCACTGACCGTTCGCTAGTCACTGAGCCTTTTCAGCCCTTCCTGGTGGCCATTTCTGCCCCAGAGAGCTTTTCCCGTTCTTTCTTCCTGGAAGTCTGGGCCTCTCCGCGCATCCTAGGTCACTCTTTTTCCTCTCTAGGTCTTACCTCCCGACTCCAGGGTAACCCTCCCGGACTCCCGTATAACTGGCGTGGGATCTTGATTATGTGTGCTCCCAGGACGAGGGTGCTGACCCCCCTCTTTAGAGTCTTTATCCCAGTGCTCACATCATGTTGAATTGTGTGGCTAGAGGACTCTTCTTCCAGGAAGCAGTAAAGCCGAGGACAGCTGGGTCTTTTGTCCTCATCATTTTATGCCCCCGGTGCCTTGACACAGAGGCCATCCTGATTATTTGTTGAACGAATGTGTACTGAGGGCACTTACATTCTAGTCTTTGGGACTGTAAGTTCTGCTCCCTCGCAGAGAGCATGGCACAGTGTGGATGCTCAGAAAATATATCCTGAGTGCCTGTGTGAGTGACTGCACTCATAAATAACTGGTAAACAGGCTTACTTCCCAGGACATACCCACAGAGAGAGAGAGAGAGAGAGAGAGAGAGAGTTGGGTGAGATCAGGTTGTCCCAAAGACCATTTGTTCCCTAGCATGTTCAGAAATTTTTGCAATATTTGAATTACATTATCAGCATTTTTCTCATATGCATACCCCCTACACTATTATTCAATTTTACGCAGTCTCGTCTCCTTAAATAAATTCCTTTTTGTAAAGAAAATTGTATGCCACTGCCTTTATACTATTATAGCAACTGGCTATGTTTTTTTTTTTTTTTAAGTTTTTATTTATTTGAGAGAGAGAGAGAATGAGAGAGAGAGAGAGAGCATGAGAAGGGGGAGGGTCAGAGAGAGAAGCGGACTCCCCGCTGAGCAGGGAGCCCGATGTGGGACTCGATCCCGGGACTCCAGGATCATGACCTGAGCCGAAGGCTGTCGCTTAACCAACTGAGCCACCCAGGAGCCCAGCAACTGGCTATTTTTTTTTTAATATACAATAAGATAAATAGTAATTATTTTTATTTTTTAAAATGTTTTTGTTATGTTATGTTAATCACCATACATTACATCATTAGTTTTTGATGCAGTGTTCCATGATTCATTGTTTGCGTATAACACCCAGTGCTCCACGCAGAACGTGCCCTCTTTAATACCCATCACCAGGGTAACCCATCCCCCCACCCCCCTCCCCTCCAGAACCCTCAGTTTGTTTCTCAGAGTCCATCGTCTCTCATGGTTTGTCTCCCCCTCCGATTTCCCCCCCTTCAGATAAATAGTAATTATTGAAAGTTTAAAGAAGTATGAATAACATAAATTCACACAAAGCTGTTAAATTGCTTTGTAACTTGACTTTCTACACTTACCAAGATGATCTTCACAAAGAAAGTATGTCATTTTAGATTCTGCATGTCGGGCCTGCAAAGCAAAGTTGGGAACCAAAGTGATGTAGGCTTCATAGGGAGGAAATTGATAAGTGACCTTAATTCCTAAGATACTGAGTGGTCATTTGAGAAGTCAGTTTACATCAAAGGTGATGTATGGTGGGATTTCCCTAGAATAGCGTGTTTGCGAAGCTGCGCTGACAGTGGGCTAACCTGAATACTTAGGATATGTTGCAGTTTTAGAATTACTGCAAAATCAGGTTCGAGTTTCTTGGTTTAGATTTTTCAAGTGATCACAGACATAGGAGTCCCGGAACAGTAATTTGAGGATAGTGATTTCTTAATTTCTAGTGAGATTAATGGCCACCATAATGAGAATGAATACCACAGATTTCCTGCAGAGCTGATGAATTCTCAAGCTTTGTATTGGTAATCTATAGGGTTTTGAAGATGATTGTGTTTTAGGTTTTGAAGATGATCATTAAAGCTCCTCTTGGTTGCTCTTTGTCACATTGTGATCTTCATTGGACATGAATTTCCATTTGAGTTCTTACAGTTTTTCCCTGTTTGGCACACTGATAATACTTGCTGAGTACTCCAATATCTTAGAATATCTGTATGCATGAAAATGGCATGATCATTGTTTCAGAGTTATTATTATTTTTTGCTTTATATTTTGGTACCAGTTATTCCATCAGATTATTTGCTTCTACATACTTTTGTTCCCTGTGTCAGTGAATGTGTTTTATTTTTGTATTTAATTTGTACCAATGTTTATGGAGAGATTTCTTCACCTACATGTTCTGCGTTGATTTGTCTACATTTGTTTTATCTTGTGGATCGCTTTTGAGTCACCAGTATTCATTGAGATACAGGGCCAGTATGTGGTCTGTGTGTCATATGGGACTCAATTTACCATTAATTTGTTACCTTAAGAAAAAAAGTTCTCAGACTACCTAATTACCTGCTTTATCAGAGGTGGTCACTGACGTGACAAATAGGATAAGTTTGTGTGTTGGTCTGCCTATGCTACCTGTCTTCCTCCGTCCCCTCCCCGCACCCCCAGAATAAAGTCGAAACTGGAGGAAAATGGATGCCATCGTTGTGTGCCACACATTGAGGTTACATGGCCCATGATGTCTTGTTTTGATGGTGTTTGTGAGTTGTGACTCCTCTGGCCAGCTCATTTACCTGGGGGATATTTCAGGATGACTTCCAGATGACAGATCTGGAAGCTCATCTTGGAAAACATACAGACCCTTACAGGGACATTGGTCCATCTGGTTGGAGAACAGCTCAATCCCTCTCCAAATTCAGTCCTACAGAGCCACCTGCTGGTTGGTTTTGGAATTATTCTCTTATTATTCCCGTCCGTGGTGGGGAAGAGGGGCTGGCTTTGACACAGCTTGGTGTGTGAAGACTTATTTAATCCACCATCACTGCCTCTCCTGCCCCATTTCCAGTTTTCATATCGAAATGCCTTTTAGGATTGAGCATATACAAAATCAACACGTGAAAGAGGTTTATCACGAATCCTGGAGGAAATTCATGAAAGAGAAGCATTTATCAAGTTGAACACTGTATTCACAGGATTCTTTCAGGAATGCATCGCCTAAAATAACCACAGAGCGGTGGGTTCCCAAGTGTGTCCCGTGGAGTATTAGCCCCAGGAGATATGGCTCTTTCCCAGAACAGTACTGTAGTCCAGTAAGTTGGGGAGAAATGCTCCATGTTAGGTTAAATTCGCCTTTGCCAATCACTGTTTTCAAGGTTTCGAGATGTCCTGCCGTAAAGAATCTGTTTAATTTTGTTTAAACTAGAGCTCTGCAGATTTATTTGCACACGAAACCTGTTCTCCCCTTTTTTAATGTAAATAAACATGAACAGACCACTAGTGAAGTGCTCAGTTTGTTCCTCACAAGGCAGACAAGACATACTGAATGAGTATCTTCTATGAAGATAGCCTTCCTTAAAGACCTGCTTGGGGGTGGTAGGAGACAGCAGAGAAGAGGTGCCCCTCTTCAGTGGGGGCCCTTCTTCAACTCTGTCACTTCCTTTCAAAGTTATCCTCTTAGGAATCTTTCTCTTACTCCAAAGGTGCTCCATTGCTTAATAGTTCCAGAATCCTTCCATTGGAATTGCCTTGGAAGACAGTGTCCCTTGTTTATAAACAAGAAGAAAATAGGTATCATTTATCGGGTTTGACTTTAGATAATTTTAGGAAATCAGAGATTGGCACCAGATGTTTGTGTCACCATCTTTCTGGCATCCTTCACGTTGCCATATATGGTTCTCCTGGCAACACCTGGAGTTGGAAAGAGCAGGACTGTGTTCTCCATTTCCATGAAGGCAGAACCTGAGACCCTTGGAGGTCAAGTACTTGCTCAAGGTCACATGGCTAGTGGGTGGAGGGACTAGCGTTAAAACTCCTTTCTTTTATAATATGTTCTTACCTGTGAGAAGAAATTCTGCCACCACGGCTGTCTCAAAGACACATACCATAGAAAGGAAACAGCTCTTCCAGAGGCTTGGTTCCAGCTCATGCAATTTACATCTTTCTTTTAACGACGGTAGATTCCTAGAAGCAAGTCGCTACTTCAGAGACATCAACACTGGTTTTTCAATATTAATTCTAACACAGTCACATACGTGGTGTGTGCATCAGTTAAGAGAGAATAGATTAAGATCTGAGCAGATATGGAAGGGTAACAGGTAGATGAAAGTCTCAAGCTCTCATGTCTATCAGGATCAGGGAAGATGTGCAAACAGTGAGTCAGGGCACGGATGGGCGTGGTGGGGTCCCTGGTGGACCCCAGGAGCCCTGGGGCAGAAGAAAGGACAAGAGAACAGGGAAATGACACCTTTATGGAAGTTGGAAGTCATTTAACTCTTGACGGTCAATTCCAAACGTTTTATGACCCGTGCAGGCCAGAGAAGAAGTCTGGGCCGAGATGGGGTCTACGGGCTGGTCCCAGCTCATGACCTTTGTGTGACCTGCAAAACTGTGGGGCAGGTGATTCCATCCATTTCCTGGCTTTAAGCTAAAAATAGCACTGAAACCAAACCAGAAAGATTCTGTTAGCCGGCATGAGGATTGAGGCTGCAGGTGCTTCCATTCTGATGTGACCCCAAGTGAATACTATCAGTCACTTTTCTCACATACTTTTACAATCTAAGGAGCGACAAATGAAAGTTCAGGAAGGGCTTTGTTCTTGACCGAAGATTTGGGTTTTGCATCCATACTGTTTGTATACTTCCTGTGGGAACTTTTATCAAACTGTAATGAAGATGTATGGGATATTTACCTGTAGTCCTCAAACTCATTAAGTAATCTCTACACCCGACACGGGGCTCAGACCCAACCTCCTAACCATTTTGAACACAGATTCTATTTTCTTTCCACTGCACACATACACATACCCGCACTGTGTGACACAGAGAAACAGTGTTAATGACTTTGAATACTCCTGCCAGCAGGTGGCAGTAAAACCTCTTGTTTGTATAAAATCAAGCGCTCTGTCTACGGGGATCGGCCAACCAGGGACTGCCGGCCAAAGGACGTCCGCCGTCTTGATTTTGTGAACAAAGTCTTGCTGGAGCATCCATGCCCATTCGTCATGTATTCATTGTGGTTGCTTTTATGCTGTGGGCAGTGGAGTTGAGTGGTTGCAGTGAGACCGTATGGTCTGCAAAATCTAAAATATCTAGTATCTGACCCTTTATAGACGAGGTTTGCCAACCTCTGTCTTATCTCACAGAGACTGCTAACATGGGCCCTCTGTGTTGCCTTCCTGACTTCTTCACTTGTCTTGGTTTGGAGTCCAAGCCTGAAATAATAAAGCCTAAGGAGTCCTTACAACAAAATTTCCTAAGTATAAATATAATATTGGCGTATTCTTTTCTTTTCTTTTTTTTTTTTTTTAAGATTTTACTTATTTATTTATTTGTCAGAGAGAGAACGCGAGCACAAGCGGGGAGGGAGAAGCAGGCTCCCCACTGAGCTGGGAGCCCGATGCGGGACTCCATCCCAGGAGCCTGGGATCATGACCCGAGCCGAAGGCAGACGCCCAACCATCTGAGCCACCCAGGCGCCCCAGGATTGCCTTATTTCTAGTCCGGTTTCCAAAGAGGGTCCTAGACAAAAGTTTTCATAGTCCTATGATTCCTTCTCATTTCCCTTCAATATCCTGAACAAGGAGTTGATGAAGATAAAAAATTAAGGAGGAAAGTAACCGCTAGTAGTCTGATCATAGCTCAGTGCAAAGACCACGTGCAAATGAGATGTTAATCATGTAGTCTCTCCTGACTCTTATTTGAGCGCCCTCGGAAAAAAATCTGATGTTGTATGTTACTTATTTCTCTGCTATAGAAACCTGTTGCTAGCTAATTTGATCGCGTGCTTTCTTAAAATATAACCGCCGGTTTTAAATTCTTTTCGGAAAAGATGTTGCCAGCCCTCTGAAGCTTCATCGGACAGAGACTTTTCCTGCCTACCGATCGGAGCACTGACAGGAGCTGCTGAGAATCGAGAATCGTTGTGTGACACACTTGTGATGTGTTGGCCGCCGCAGATCCACCAGGAGGCCACAGGATGACAGCGAGGGGAGCCACGATGGAAAGAGGCGGGAAGTCCTGGCTAATTGTGTGGTCATTGGGAAACTGCAATGCAATATTTGTCTTTTTCTTTCTTTTTTCTTTTTTTTTAAAAAAAATCTTAGCGTGATTGAAACATGCTCTATAGATACCGACTTTTTGTTCCCTATTTTACAGCTGGACAGAAAGGAGTCGATGCCACAGAATGATTTTCTATTGTAGATACCATGTCCCTTGCACTTCTCTGAATCTATCCTTTTGTGGATTCTTGTGATTTTCCTTCTGAGTGTTTCAATTGTATGACAGTCAGTACTGATAATAAAATGGCTCTTCATTATTTGTTATTCATTGATACCGTATTCCTCAGTTGTTAATATCACGGTTCTGGTTAACTACGGGAAGTTATTTTTTATGACGTTGCCAATTAGTTAAATCAGTGCTTTGACTGGCTCTTACCTATTAGGTTAAGAAATAACTTCCAAGGACCTTTTAGTCTTCTCTTCAGGGTTACAGTTTTGCTCTCACACCATCTTCCTCCTACCCCCACCTTCCTTTTTTTTTTAAAGCCTTTGTTTTGTTTGGAGTCCCTTCGTAAAACATTTTAAAATAAAAGAGCATTCTTCACCCCTGTGTTCTTTGGATTCTGGAGATCTGGTTTTCTCTTCTATCTTCGGTATTTATGAAGGTATGTGACTGTCTTCCTTAGGAGTCATGAGCGGTCTGGCATTGCCCTTGATATTAGTGCGACGACCAGTTATACATTCGCCCACTTGCTCATTCAGCTGGTCTGGACTGAGCATTTTCTAGTTCCGGACACTGTGCTCTATAGAATCCAGCGATAGAGGGCTAAAGAGACACAGGCCCTGTCACCTTAAGTGCAGAGGAGTATGACAGGGAAATAAAGTTGCAATTATAATACAGAGTGACATCTGCTAAATGGGTCCCCAGTGGCCATGTGCCTCTGAAGAGATGGTCAGTCTATGCCCCAGTCTTTCCGACTGGGATCTGCCAGATGGGAATTCCATCTTGGGAGGTCCCGAAGCTAGAATGGTTATGGCTGCATGGGAAGGAGGGATGGTGTGTGTCTCGGTCACTACCCTCTTGTCAGTAGTATTCCCTGATACATATAGGGCATCTGGTTAAATTTGATATATGATGATTTATGTTTTTTAGTGTAAGTATCTCCCAAATATTGCATGAGATCTAAATATACTAAAAATTATTTATTGTATATCTCAGATTGAAATTTGATGGCATGCTCTGTATTTTTCTTTGCTAAATCTGGCTGTCCTGTTTCCCAGGCTCTAGATCTGTGCCTTACACGTAGCTCATGCTTGAAAAATACGCGATAATTGAATGGATAGATGAATAAACTCTTATCCTGGTGATAGAATTCTTCCCATAAGGGGAGGCAAGTTAATATTGATTGTGTACTTTCTCAGTGCCAGACACTGAGCTAGGCCCTTCTAAAATTACAGTTTTCCCCCAGAAAAATCTTTCCTGTATTTTCTAGGAAAAAAGTGAGTTTTACTCAGGGCCATAAAAAAGTTCATTTTCATTTGTGCTCCTTCCCAAAAATGCATAATTTCTCGAAATGGAGATTGACCAATGAAGCCCCAAAGGACCTGCTAAAATCCAGGTCTGCCTACCGAAAATCCCCATTGGATCCGAGTTAGTTGGGGTTTCCAAGGACACTGCTGGTTAGGATGTGTTTGTCTTGGAGGTGGAAAAAAATCGGGGGAGAGGGGGACGGAAGGTTGAATTTGGCTAAGAATTAGCGGATTAGGGACACAGACATGACACAGTGCTAATGGCTTTGCTGGAATGCTTTGGTGTTCTCTGTGTTCTGTGTAGCTACTTTCCACATTATGTTAGCTCAACCTCCTTCTCCCAGGTGTATTCAGATTCATCTTTTAAAAATCTGATTCGCCACAAACGTTTGACTATTTCTTCACTGTTTATTATCCTAACTCTAGCTGGCTCTTGTTTTTATTTCCTTTCTCTTCTAAAACTGTCTCATAAGAGGTTCTCCCTGGTTCCCGCGGCCTTGGCTGCCAACATGGGGGCTTATGTTGAAGAAGGAGATAAAGGAAATGGAATTAAAGAAATAATTATCATTTTAATGAAGTCAAAATTGCTGAAGCAAGTCTAGAGCTAATGAGCATGTAAAGAAATGTCGCTGAATGTAGTAAACTACACGTCAGAACCTCCTTTAGGATCTTTTAAAAAAGAAACGTTCGACCAAAAAAGAGTTAGAGTCCTACTTGGCTTCCTAATGGTTTTCATTTATTGTCAAGCACCATTCTAAGTGCTTGACCTGTATTACTTAATCTCCACAACGGGTCCACGAGGTAAGTATAATTCTTCGTTCCATTTTATAGATGGGGAAACTGGGCTTTAAGGAGCCTTAATAATCTAAATAATATGCCCAAGATGTCTTAGCTTTGTTGAAAGGTAAACGGTGACACATTAACGTTTTCAAGTTTATTTGAGCAATAGTCGTTTGAATTGGGCAGCGCCAAACCAAAGGTGGCTAGGGGTGCTCTGGGGATAGGATCCCAGACAAGAGCCAGGGAGAAGTTTTTATAGAGAAGATGAGGAAGCAAAGCAAGGAAATTATTTGATTGACTCTAGTTTAAGTGGTTGCTTTATTTGAGAACGTCTCGTGATTGGTTGTGCTTGAGTTTCATTTTCCAGGATTCCCATGCATTGACTTTGGCTTGCGTTTTGGTTGGCTTATGTAGGCTATGGTGCCTTAGCTCCACCCCATCCTCGTTTAATTACTTTAACAGCTACTAAAGGGCAGACTCACATTTGAACCCAGGCAATCTGATTCCTGAGCCTACTATATCAAGCCCTAACACGTGCTGCCTTAGAGGGCAGCACACTTTTCTTTAACGGGTGAGAATCTAAATATTTTAGGCATATGGTCTCTGTTTCTGCTGTACTGCAAAAGCAACCATTGATAATACAGAAGCCGATAGGCATGGCTGTGTGCCAATAGAACTTTATTTACAAAAACAAATGGCAGGCTGGATTCACCCACCGTGTAGTTGCCAACCCCTACTCTAAATTATAAGAACCTCAAATACTCCCTTTTATTAGTTTCAGGTTTGGGACCGAAATCATGAAAAATTTAAACACCTTAATCTTAGACCTTAAATAAAGGGAATAGGGATTAGAAATGATTTTTTCTTTGTCTTTTTCTAATCTCTAACCCAGGTGGTGACCATGTAATGTAAGAAAAGGGGGAGGTTTTCAAAGCCATGTGGATTTGTACATGATTCAAACTATATTCTAAAGTACCTGTGCCAACATTGGAAATGAGCTGAATCCGGAGGTTAAGCTACAGAATTCTTCTTAGACATAGTTGTTGTTTCTGCTTTAATTATATACTAAGAAAAGCAACAATTTTTTTGGTGGGAGATAGGGTGGGGAGATTGGTGAATAAAGTATATGTTCTATGTGTCCCCTTTGCATGCAGGGCCAGTGCTATAAAGATCTTTTACTCAGTTTGAGGCCGATTAATGTAGTAGTTATTAAAATGCTTTCATGGGTAAGACTATTTGGGTTTCTGAAAGTCATTCATTCATTTCCCAAGTATTTATTCAGTATCATCCCTGAGTGTGCCAGGCTGTGTGTGGGAGTTTCCAGGAACTGTGTGGGTCCACTTATATGTGGATTTTTTTCCATAAATACAGTACTGTAAATGTATTTTCTCATAATAATTTTCTTAACATTTTCTTTTCTCCAGCTTACTTTATTATAAGACTATAATATATAATACATACAACATGCAAAACATGTGTTAATCAACTGTGTTATTGGAAAGACTCCTAGTCAACAGTAGGCTGTTGGTAGTTAAGATTTTTAAGTTAAGGGGAATCAAGTTATTCTCAGGTTTTCAACAGAGCCGGATTCAGTGTGCCTTACCCTTGTGTTGCTCAAGGGTCACCTGTGTTAACAAAATCTTCCCTCTAGTCCCAGGAAAAAACTACATCCATTCTCAGATTCCCGTTAAGACAGCAATCTCAATACTTTCCATTCATGTTGAGGTTTTAAGTTCTTTGGGTTAAATATTGGAGGTAAGGCTGCCCATCTTCTGAAGAAAGTCAACAGTTGGCTGATTTCAGAGTAAGCCCATTGGCTCAATCTGTGATAATTCGATTCAGCCAAGGCAGGACCTTGTGATAATCATTTACCTACAGCTGTGCTGAATAAGATGGAGCCACCCGCATTCTACTCTCTGAGCTTGTAGTTCTCAAATGTTGGCAAAAGATACTCATTCAGTGGATCTGGGTGGGGAGCCCATGATTCTACATTTCCAATCAGTGTCTGTAGGTAATTCTAGGGCAGGTGGTATAAAATCCTGTCTTAAACCTTAAGGAGATAAAAATGGTGAGATCTGGCCTCTAGAGGCAATCATTAAGGTGTTTTTTTTTTAATGATTTTATTTATTTGAGAGAGAGAGAATGAGAGACAGAGAGCACGAGAGGGAAGAGGGTCAGAGGGAGAAGCAGACTCCCTGCTGAGCAGCCCCCCCCCCGATGTGGGACTCGATCCCAGGACTCCAGGATCATGACCTGAGCCGAAGGCAGTCGCTCAACCAACTGAGCCACCCAGGTGCCCCCATTAAGGTGTTCTTCACCAGGACAGGGCCAGGAAGTCAGCAGGAAGAACTGGGATGCCAGAAGATGTGGGAATTCAGGCACAGAGGTACAAGTGTGATCCTGCGTGTGGGCTACCCACAGGATGGGGAGATGTGTTGTGATTGTGGCTCTGGAAGTGGGCTCCCACATGGCCTTTTCAGGGCCTCGGGGATATTTTCTTTGTTGCTATAACTAATAAGGAGACTCGGTTTGACCTTCTTTGTTTCTCTAAGATGTCTGAAGTGCAAGGTCTTCCTGCACTGTTCTTTTTTAATAGGAAACCGCCCCCCAAGAGCTACTTGCGAAAGCAAAGCACAGACTGGAGAAGATGAGCAGGGTGAGGAAGGGGCCAGAGTCCAGTTGCTATTGTTGATGACTCAGGGCTGAGCCACTAGCCAGCCAGCCTTCCACCCCTCCTCCTGCGCCAGGCTTCTCCCAGCCTTAC